TGATTTCTATTTTTATTCAGTTTTACCCTGATAGAATGCAGGGTAGTATTTCAATTTTTTTTTTTTTGTATTTCCTGAGAGTTGCTTTGTGGCACAACATGATCTATTTTAGAGAAGGATCCATGTGCTACTGAGAAGAAAGTATATTTGTTCATTGATGGATGAAATACTTTATATATGTTTGTTAAGTGTAAATCATTGATTGTATTGTTTAGTTCTATAGTTTCTTTGTTTAGTTTGTGTTTGGAAGATCTATCCTGTGGTGTGAGAGCTCTGTTAAAGTCACCCAGTATTATTGTGTTGTGGTCTATTTGATTCTTGAAAATGAGAAGGGTTTGTTTGATGTATGTAGATGCTCCATTCTTTGGGGGCATAGATATTGATGATTGTTATGTCTTGTTGATGTATGGTTTCCTTAAGCAGTATGAAAGGTCCTTCTTTATCCCTTCTTTTGCCTCATTATTGAAGTGATTTTTAACTTTCTGTATTTTCTCTCCAATACCATCCTTTATTTTGAAGATCAGTCTATGTATTTCCTAAACTCCTTCTCTGACATTTCTTCTACTGTGTTGTGTATTGATTATATCATTAGAACATCTTGGTTTGTTTGAGGCACTTTGTTCCCTTGTTTTTTCATGTTGTTTATATGTCTTCCCATCTAGCGGTGTGGATTCGAGACAGTACAATTTCTACCCTGTAGTCTTACAGTGTCCCTGAAGGCTTCCAGTATCTCGTCTTTAAGGGGGAGACAAATATTAACAGTACCCAATGCAAATAATATACCCTTAAACCAAGTAGCTTTTATTAAGGTGTTTACAGTTTTGTTGCAATAAACAGAAATGATGTGTTCAATTATTGTCTATTATAAACTGTAAGTTTGCTAAAAGTGTTTACCATTTCTAATGATGGACAATGAGGGAACAGAAGTAGGTAAGATGTGATGTTTATGAGGGAGAAAGAGAAAAGATAGAGGTAAAAATGTATAGTATGAGTAAGGGAGGAATTAATAGAGGTTGGTTGTTAGTATGAGAGAAATGGGAAAGTGAATCCAGGGAGACAGACAGGTGAGAGAAAAAATATACATAGATTTTAAAGAAGTAAAAATATAAGAATAAACAACAAAAGTGTAATATACTATTCAGACATCCCATTCTTCAATAAATAGATTCATGAAATATATTTGGATTCAAAGATGGTAGAGGTGTGTGAGAGAGGGCAAAAAATACTAAAAAAAAAATAAAAATAAAAAAAGAAAGTCTCAATAGAAAATTGCTTCCCTTGGCTTTCAAAACTTTTCTCAGCTTCCCTTCTCTACTGATAGATGGGATTGTCTGAAGTTTGATGTAGCTCCAGTCCGGTGGGTGATGGAACAGTTGGATGGGTGAGCTGATAGCAAAATGCTCTCACACCCTCTTCCAGTCCTCCCAACCATTTTAGACGGTCCCTTCTATCCCTACACACTTCAGGACTTATTGAGCTGGAAAGAGCCCAGCTTTCTCCAACCTGTGCTCCCCACAGGGAACTGACCCTGGTCTGCAGCTTTCTACAGGCTTGCAGGACCCAGGCTGGCCCATGCAAAACCAGTAGCAAGCTGACAGATGTGGGCTTCAGCTTCCCCAGGCTCTGCCCTGCTGTAGTCCCAAGATCTCAATGCCCTTTCAGCTTGCAGAGAGATCACCAGGGATGTACTCACATAAAGGAGTCATCCTGCAAAGAGGCAGCCAGATGGCAGCCACTAGCACACCCAACAGAAAGACCTTAGGTATGACCAGACCTACAGGAACCCCTAGAATACATTTCCAGGCCCTGGCTGGTGTTTCCAGACTGAGGCAGCTGTGCCTTGACATGGTGGTGGTGGTGGTGGTGGCAAACCTGCAGACCCTGGTCAGTGTCCCAAGATGGCAGCAGCTGCATGTAATCAAACCTGTGGGTACTGTGACAATGGACTTACAGGCAGCAGCAGGCAGCAGGCCGTGGGATGTGAGTGATCGGTGGGTGGACATCAGGTGGTGGGTGATGAGTAGCTGAAAGGCAGGTGATGGGCAGGCAAGAGGTGGGTAAATAGGAAAATCGTGAATGATAGGAGGTGGTCAGCGCTGAAAAGGTGGGTCATATGCTGGCAGACAGCAGGCAATCATGGCAGATGAATGGGGGGTAAACAGCAGGGGATTGGTGGGCAGCAATGGCTGCTTCATTGAGAAACAGTATTTCCTCTGCTTGAATCCTGAGTCACAGAGTGACAAGGAATGCAGCCTCCTTCTAGTTCACTATCTTGACTCTCTTGACAAGATATTTTTTTTTTGTCTAATAAAAAATAAGAGAACTTTAGAGATCTGTGGGGAAATATAGCAATGTGAAATAAATGTGTATATGTAACTACAGGAGAAAGTCACAGCAAGGGGAAGAAACCACTTGAAGAAATAATGACTGAAATTTCTACAATTTGGAAAATTACATAATTTACAGTTTAAGAAATCTCAGTGAAACCTGAGGAGGCTAAATACAAAGAAAAATCATCAGTAGAGACATTGTAAACAAAGTACTGAAAGCAGGGGGCTGGGGCTGTAGCTCCGTGGTGGCAGAGCACTTGCCTAACATGTATAAGGCACTGGGTTCAATCCTTAGCACCACATAAAAATGAAACAAATACAACCAAGGCATGCTGTCTATCTACAACTACAAATATATATATATATATATATATATATATATATATATATATATATATTTTAAAGTACTGAAAGCAAAGGATGAAGAGGAAATCTTGAAAGTAGTTGGAATAAAATGAAGCATCACTTATTGTTCATTAACAAGAAGATCTACTGAGTTCTTATCTGGAACAATGGAAGCCAGGAGATAATGGAATGACATTTTTTTAAAAAAATTTTTTTAGTTGTAGATGGACACAATATCATTTATTTATTTATTTACTTTTATGTGGTGCTGAGAATTTAACCCAGTGCCTCATGCATGTGAGGCAAATGCTGTGCCACTGAAGTACAACACCAGTGCTGGAATGACATTTTTTAAAGTGCTGAAAGAGGGGAAAAACCCTTCAACCTTCAAATCTGTATCTACAGCCAGGGAAATTATCTTTTAGGAAAGAAGATAAAATAAGGACATTTTGAGATACATGAAAGCTAAAAGAAGTCATGAATAGATGTACATGAAGAGAAATATTAAAGAAAGCCTTTTAATCTGAAGAAAAAGATTCTTTTGCTGACAGTTTAAAGTAATATTAGGATGTTTTGAGGGTTTATATCATAGGTAGGTATTCGACATATGGCAACCCTAGTATAAAAGATGGAGTGAAATGGGAATGAATGTATATGGTAGGTAGGTTTTTACATTTATGTTAAGGGGCAAAATATGAGTTATAATTAGATAATAAAAAATAAAGGATATATATTTTATATCTGGGGAAATTACTAAAAAATAATGCAAAGTAGTATTGTTAAAAAGGCAAAGACAAATTAAAATGGAATTGTAAAAGTGTTTTTATTTTTTTTTTTAAATCCAGGCATGAAATAGTGAACATAGAAAGAAGAGCATATGGGACAGACAGTATAAGGATGGACTTAAATTCAAATGTAGCAAATGTTAATGGGCTAAATACTGCAACAGAAAGGAAGGGATTTTCAGAGTGGATGAAAAAGTAAGAGTTTTGGTATCTACAATAGATTTCATTTAAATATAAAGACTTACTTGGTGAGACAGGAAATGTGATACACCATGCGAAGGGCAAGTTCGCTTTACTAGTAGCAGAGAAATAGGGACAAAAAGTATTACCTGAATTCAAATGTAGTAATGACATAAGTGCTAATTGATCAGAAGTACATAAAATTTGTAAATGTGCTTCTACTGAATAATAGAGCTTGAAAATATATGAAGTAAAACTTGAAAGAGTATGGATGGAAAGAGGAGGAACTGCAATATGAAACTGAGCAAATTATGTTTATTGTGTGAAAGAATACATCACAACTAATTCCACCATCATGTATATCTATGAATCACTGACTAAAAATCAATAAAGGAATACTAGTAAAGGAAAAGAGAAGAAGGTGAGGTGGGAGGGGGCTGAAATGGAACAAATTTTGTTATGCACATTAACTATAATGCACTAATCAAAGCATTAAAATGAATAATTTATAGCATAACGGAATTTTTTAATTCCGTCAACCCCACTACCTTCTGGGTAAGCCATCTTATTGGCTGAGAGCTAATGGGCGTGTCTACTGCTTGTGGAAGTTCCAACCCCTGTTGCCTGGGCTGAACCGTTACATTCGGGTGTGCTTTACTGGAGCCTCCTTTTGGTTGTTCCTGCTTAAAAGTGCTGGAACTTTCTGCACAGTTTGCAGGGGCTTCTGGGAGAAGTAAGGCCTTCTGGGAGCTCAGAAGGCCTGAGCATAAAGGGCCCAGGAGATCCTGAGGGGATTTCGTCAGATTCTTCTGAGTGCGATTCCAGAGTTGTCTAGAGTCAGAGAAAGTCCACGGACAGGTAGGGTAGTTCCTCGAGTTTTGGGGAATGGTAGATAGCTGGTTATGAGGTGCCAGGGCCAGGCGCTCCGTGGCACCTCATAACTGGAAGGGGATTGTGGCTGTCGAGATCGGGGAGGCATGAGGGAGGGGTTCCCTGTGTGGTTTGCAGGAACGACATGGGGAGGGTCCTTGGCTGCCCGTGGGGTTGCTGGAGGGGAGGGCTCCTGGTTGTGGGGACCTGTGAGGCAGGTCTGGTGTCACGGAGGGGACGGGTGTGGGGCGGCTGAGGAGGATACATAACTGTGGGGGTGGGGTTGTCGCTTGAGCTATGAGGATCCTCTGTGGGTTCAACGGCGGAGGGGTCGGGATAGGGTGGGAAGGAGGGTCCTGGCAGGAGTGGGGGGGTGGTAGCTCGCCACGCGTTTGGAGAGCAGAGGTGAGAGCTACCGGCCGCCATGTGGGGAATACAGAGGGGACCAAGGAACCGGGTGCGGGACGTGTGAGGGAAGGCTAACGTCGAGATGGATGAGACGTTCGCCAGCGCTGGCTGGACGAGCGGGCTGACTAGTGGCTGCGTCTGTGGAAGGAGGGCTGGAAGACGCTGCGTAGCACGTGGCGGGAACGAGGCAATAGGCTGCGATGGGGTCGTGGTGGGCGAGAACGCAGGGCTGGTGGTCTGGGGCTTGAGGGTCACGGAATCGAGGGCACCCCTCGGCTTCCTGGGGGTAAGTGTGGCCGGAGACAGCCCTTGTTGGGTGTTGGCGGGAGTATGGCAGGGAGGGAAGACCAAAGGGCTCACAGGGTCGTGGGAGCCCTGGGGCGCCCTAATTATGCCACCGCTAGTGCAAGCAGGTGTAGGGAGCATGGAAAGTAGAGGCTGCAGGCTCGAGGCGGTGGCCGTGGCAGAGCTGCATGGTGTGGGAACACCACGGAGGGAGCCCCGACCCAGCACAGGGGGGCGCCCTATTTCCCGGGTTTACAAGTCGCCACAAGAGCCCTGTGGGCACGTGTGGCACTACACAGGACAGTAGGAGGAGTTCGCTCCTTGAAGCCGGGAGGGACATGGGCTGGAGGACACAGTCGCCACCTGAGGGTATGCAGGACGCGGTGGGGGGCATACGTGATGACAAGACACCCTCAGCTGCCCCAGCCTAAGTGAAGACAAAGTGAGGAGCAGAAGACGCGGTGAGCAGCTGTAGCTCCTACAGTTGGAATTGGAGATGCTTCAGGTGGCCTCCGCAACATGGGATGTAGTGTTCGCATGGGACGGGGGCTTGATGTCTTGAGAAAAATGCACATTGATTACAAGGGCACATTCTATTTTTACCTTTACTTATGTAGAATACATACTGCACATAAAGAAAAAACGACTTTTTATAAACCTGGTGTGAGTGCTGTTCATCTGTAATCCCAGATACTGGGGAGGCAGAGGCAAGATGATCACTTCAGCCCACAAGTTTGAGACCACCCTGGGCAATGTAGCAAGAACCTCTTTCAGAAAAAAAATCATAGACATTAAAAGACTGGGGGGCTGGGGTTGTGGAACAGTGTCAGACTGCTTGCCTAGCATATGTGAAGCACTGGGTTCCATCCTCAGCACTGCATAAAAATAAATAAATAAAATAAAGATATTGTGTCCATCTATAACTTAAAAAAAGATTGCACTCTTATTTAATAATTTCTCAGTGGAATTCTGTTTGAAGTTAATAATGATAACATGTCTAAATATTTGTAAATCCATGAACCAAAGAAGAAATCAAAAAAGAACTAAGAAGATATTTCAAACTCAATGATAAAAAAATTACAACTTAAAAATATAAGCCTGTGTGCGGGGTTTAGCAAGGATGGTGGAAAGTGATAGACATCATTATCCAAAGTACATGTATGAACACATGAATTTGTATACAACTAGAGATATGAAAAATTGTGCTGTATATGTGTGATAAGAATTATAATACATTCTGCTGTCATTTATTTTTTAAAAAATCAATTAACAATTAAAAAAAAAGAAGGAGGAAAAATATTAGTGGGAGACAGCTAAAGAAGGGATCACAGGAACATTTATTGCTTTAAATGCTTGTAATTGGGAAAAAAGCAAGGTATAATGGCAGTGGTCCACTGGTTTATTTAAAGAAGCTAGAAAAAGAACACCACCAAATATAAAAAAAGCAGGAATTTATTCACACAAAATAAACCATACATACAACTAACAAACACACATACTTTTTTAAAAAAAGGTAACAAAATTGATAAACACAACACTAATCAAGACAAGAGAAAAAGACACTAATCACCAATATTAGGAATGAAAGAAGATGTTATTACAGGTTGTACAGACATTTAAAAGATAATAAAAAGCACAAATTTGTACCAAAAAATGTTGAAAACATAAAACTTGGGAATTCCTTGGGGGAAAAGTATTTTACCAAAACTGCTACCACATAAACTAGAAACTACTGACTCTATAGCTTATAAACACATTTTTGTTCTGTAATACTGGGAATCAAACTCAGAGGTACTCTACCACTGAGCTATATTCCCAGCCCTTTTTATTTTCAGACAGGATTTAACTCAGGGGCATTGTACTCCTGAACTACATCCCCCACCCTTTTAATTTTATTTTGGACAGTATTTAACTCAAGGGCACTCTACCACTGAGCTATACCCTAGACCATTTTATTTTATTTTGAAACAGGGTCTCACTGAGTTGTTGAGGTTGGCCTCCAACTTGTGATACTCCTGACTTACCCTCCCAACTTGTTGGGATTACAGGCAGGAACCTGTCTTCTTATACATAAATTTATTAAAAATTTTCCCTAAAATCAAAGTAAGGGAGAGGAAGAGCCCCTGGCCCCATGCTCAAGGGGCAGCTATTTGACGGGTTGGGCTGTCTAGCAACAATAATCCTTTCTCTCCTTTGCACACACAGGGTGCTCAGAGACTGCAACACTCGGCACACATCCCTGTTCAACCATGCTTCCTTCCCCCAAGAATACTGCTATGGCAATGACAATGCTGCAAGACTGGTGTAGGTGGATGGGTGTCAATGCCCAGCGCTCATTGCTCATCCTGGGCATCCCTGAAGACTGCAAGGAAGATGAATTCCAGGAAGCAGTGCAGGCTGCCCTATGGCCCCTGGGCAGGTACCAAGTGCTCTGTAAGACCTTTCGAAAGGAGCTCGGGGCCAGGGTAGCTTTAGTTGAGTTCGCTGAATATTTAAATCGAAATTTGATCCCCCAACAAATACCAGGTAGCAGGGGCCCATGGACTGTGATCTTCCTGCCCCAGGCTCCTGATGCTGACTTCCAGGATACTCCCAATTTCCCTGCACAGCCTCAGGGGAGAGCAGTGGTAGGAGCTGCATGTGAGGCAGAAGCTACAGGTGAGGGAGGAGCTGCCTGTGAAGGAGGAGCTGCCTGTGAAGGAGGAGATGCATGTGAGGCAAGAGTTACAGGTGAGAGAGGAGCTGCATGTGCGACAGAAGCTGAAGGTGAGGCAGGAGATACAGGTGAGGGAGGACCTACAGGTGAGGAAGGAGCTGTAGTTGAGGGAGAAACTGCAGGTGAGGGAGGACCTACAGGTGAGGCAGCAGTTGCAGATGAGGAAGGAGCTGTAGGTGAGGGAGAAACTGCAGGTGAGGGAGGAACGGATAGTGAGGCAGTGGCTGCAGATGAGGGAGGAGCTTCAGGTGAGGAAAGAGCATCAGGTGAAGTAGGAGCTGTGAATGAGGGAGGAGCTGGAGGTGAGGCAAGAGATGCAGGTGAGGGAGGAGCTGCAAATGAAGGAGTTGAAGGTGACAGAGGAGCTGCAGATGAGTCGGAAGAAGCAGGTGAAGTAGGAGTTGTGTATGAAGCAAGTGTGTCAGATGAGGAGGGAGTTGAAGGTAATGTGGGAGTTGCAGGTATTATACGACCTATGGACATGGCAGCAGCTGCAGGTGAGGTAGGAGCTTCAGGTGACAGAGTTGCTGCAAGTGAGGGAGGAGCTGTAGTTGAGGCAGAAGTACGTGAAATAGGAGCTGCAGATGAGGCAAGAGCATCAGGTGAGGAGGGAGCTGCTGGTGACATGGGAGTTGCAGGTGTTCTAGGAGCTTTGGGTCTGGTAGGAGCTGCAGGTGAGGCAGGAGCTGCAGGTGACGGAGGAGTTGCAGGTGAGGCAGGAGATGCAGATGAGGCAGCGGCTGCACGTGAGGCAGCAGCTGAGGCAGAGGCAGCAGGTGAAGTAAGAGCTGTGCATGAGGCAAGAGTGTCAGATGAGGAGGGAGCTGCAGGGGACATGGGAGTTGCAGGAATTATAGGAGCTGTGGGTATGGCAGGAGCTGTAGGTGAGGGAGGAGCTGCAGGTGATGGAGGAGCTGCAGGTGAGGCAGGAGCCGCAGGTGAGGGAGGAGCCGCAGGTGAGAGAAGAGCTGCAGGTGAAGCAAGAGAGTCAGATGAGGAGGGAGCTGCAGGGGACATGGGAGCTGCAGGTGTGATAGGAGCTGTAGGTACAGCAGGAGCTGCAGGCGAGGCAGGAGCTGCAGGCGAGGCAGGAGCTGCAGGCGAGGAACGAGTCTCGGATATGGCAGGAGGGACAGATGACGCGGGAGCCCAGACCCAGCAGTGGAGCCAGGCCCTGCAGCCTGTCCTGGAAAACATGGCCTATGAGGAGCTGAGAAGCTTTTCTGGGATTGAAGAGCCAGCCTGTGGGGAAGACTCCTTCGACAGCTGGCTGGATCATGCCAACGACATGCTGTACCTGTGGCGCCACATATCTGAGAGGGAGAGGAGGAGGAGGCTGGTGGAGAGCTTGGGTGGGCCTGCCCTGGATCTCATGTGTGGGCTCCTGGAAGAACACCCAGACACTCCTGCACAGGACTGCCTGGCCGCGCTGGTGCAGGTGTTTGGGAACAAGGACACCCGGATGACTGCACGCCTGAAGTTCCTGACTTGCTCTCAGCGGCCTCAGGAGACTCTCTTTGCCTATGTGATACGCTTGGAAGGCCTGCTGCAGGTAGCCTTGGAGAAGGGGGCCATCCATCCGGTTATTGCTGACCAGCTGCGAGCCCAGCAGATGCTGATGAGGGCCCGACCAAACCAGATGCTCCAGAACAACCTGAGGAGGATGCGTCTGGAGAGGAGGCCACCCGGCTTCCTGGGGCTTCTCCGGCTCATTAGGGAGGCTGAGGCATGGGAGGCTGCCCTAGCTAGGAATGAGCAGGTGGAAGGTGAAGAGGGAGCTGAAGTTTACCAAGGAGATCTGGCTGCTGCCCAGACTGCACCTGACAACGAAGATAATGCTGAGGCCACTCTATCCAGTGAAAATGCCAGTGAGGCCACCCTTCCCAATGAGGTCACCATGGAATGTATCTCCATCATTGTAGAGAAAACCAAGGCAGAACCATCCAATGAAGATGCCAGCAAGGCTGCGCCTGCCATTGGAAACACTGATGAAGCCTACCCAGCCGACAAGGTTGCTCCTAGCCCTGAGCATGCTGCTGAAGCTACTTCCAATACAGATGATGTCATGAAGGCAGCACCTGCCATTAAAGAGGCCAATACCTCCCCTGCCACTCAGGAAAATGAAGATGCTTTTTCCCCTGCAGGTCTAGGCCAGGCAAGATCAGTGGAGGCCTTCAGTGGCCTCACCCCAGCCCAGATGGGCAGTGCTTCTGATGCTAGCCCAGGAGGGCCTGGTTTGGGGCCAGAGAGCCTCCTCCAGGGGGAAAATCAGGAGGCTGAGGAGCCCCTGCTGGAGGGGCTTAAGGACATCCTGGAAGAGCTGGGAAACAAGGATAGGGCTGGGGAGACGAGCCACCCCAAGCCCTCCTTGGGCAAATAGGCTCAGAAGTCCCAGGGGCCTTCTCTCCTCTCAGGCAACACATCCCTGGAGGCAGGGGTAGGCCAGGCCAGGGCTGTCACCCTATCCCATATTTGGAGCAGAGTTCAGGGAAGGGCTCATTCCACCCCAAATAGGCCTCTCAACTCTCCAAGGAGCTCTCATCACCACCACCAGCTCTTCCAAATGGCCCAGCTCTTCCAAATGACCACAATTTCAACCAGATTTGGCAGGAGGAGTCACTCTTCCCCATGGCATCCCCAGCCTCAAACTCCACCAATCTAGGGCAGTAGGCCTGGAAGCACCCCTGAGCTGCTAGCTCTGGCCTAGATGAGGGTACCTGAAGATATCTGACTGAGAGACATTGCCAGGGGTGTGGGGAGGAAGCCATCTCAAGGGTGCCGGCTGCCTGGCTCTCCCATCAGGGGGATTCTATCCTCCCCTCCCAGTTCACCAATTCCAGAACAGGATGCTACCTGTTCCTGGAAATCCACCCTTATTTGTAAGCTCCGTGGAGATCCACCTCAAGCAAATGCCCACCTCACACTAGCCATAATTCTTGTGCAAAGCCATGAGGTGTGTGTCATCTCTGTGTGGAGGTCCTTGCCCTCACAGCCAGCCACCCCTAGGTCTGGGCACATGTTGTGAGCTTCCATGTGAGCCAAGGCTCTGCCTGCTCCTGTCCAGTGTCCTGACTTAACCTCTGCTTTCTTGGTGTAGATATAGGCCAGCTTTCTGCCACTTGTTCTTGTGGAGTATTGTATGTTTTTATCTGAGCAGCTTCTTCCAGGAGATCCTGAGCCCACCAGTCCCAGGAGACAGCGGAAAGGATGGATGGTGATGGCGTGATTGATGCTGTGCCCATGACTGCAACTACAACTGTGACTACATCTGGGACTGCAATCTTACCTTTTGCAGAAAGAACTGGACTGGGGATGGATGTGGAGAGCTGGAGCCTGTGCTTTGATGTTCCACCTCTGTTATTTGTAACTCAGTTTCCTCAGCTTGGTGAGGCATTTCCTGATGTGCTTTTTAGTGTCTCTGTGCCAATTATAGGGCAAGGGCCACCCCACAGTGAGTCAGTCTCAGAGGGAATTCCCTGAAAGTAATGTGTATTGCCAGAGGTCACCATCCTGGAAAGAGGCAGATCTGGGGGCCCTAGTAAGGGAAAATGTGGTAGGAGGGCCCTAGTATGGGGAGCAGATGAGAAACCTCATTAGAAGTCCAGGATGAGGTGTCCCTGCGTCCCAGTACCTGTGGTCTTTACAAGCTGTGAAGAGTCCCTTTCCATGTTGTCATCCTCTTCTCATTGATGGGCTCAATGAATGTTTCTCTTCAATAAATTTCATTAAATGTTCTAACTGAGTCTTGACTCTGCTATGGGCAGTTGATAAAAGGGATGGCTGGAGTTTGGGTGGGAGTGGAGGGACAGAAAAAGATCTCTTTGCTAAGTACTCATAGAAGACATCCACAGTGAGAGACTATGCACTTCAATAAGCAGGTTAGGAGTTGATGACTTTAAAAATTTTTATAGGTGAATTACAAAATTTTGAAGTTTAATTGTTCCTTGATTGAGGTGGTTTTTACCCTGGGACTTTTGAAAATGCTTGAAGGAGATGCTGGTTTTCTCCTTGATTGGGGCAAGACCACTCTATCATGTGTGTGGGGTTCTGGACTACTAAATATGAGTGATTCTTGTGGTAGGGTTATGCAGTAAAGAACAATTGTACTCAGAAGTGCAATAGCACCTCTGGTGAGAAAGCCAGCATTAGAGTGACTGGGTTTTTCTAAAAGCCTCAATATGTTTTAATTTGAGATATTCTAAAACTTCAAAATCTCACCCTGTAATAATTTAAAGAGCAAGTGCAAACTTCTAGATATTTGTGGAGCTTCTGGCAGAATGGGCAAAACATTTCCAGACAACTTCCACTTGCAAGCCAAGACTTTATCTTGAGGATAAAAGCAGGCAAGGCCAGTGAGATACATAGCAAAGGAGGGGTTTACAGGAGTTGGAGGATACTCTCTGAAGGGGTGATATCCTGAGACTGAGTAATGTGTGTGCAGAAAGTAGCATGTTGTTAAAAGAGAAACTTTTAAAAAATATTATTTTTAAAATAATGTTGTAGTTGTACACAATACTTTATTTATTTTTATGTGGTGCTGAGGATCGAATCCAGGACCTCACATGTGCTAGGCAAGTGCTATACCTCTAAGTCACAACCTCAGCCCCAAAGAGAAACTTTTTCAAAAATGTTTTAGTTGTTGATAGACATTTATTTATTTATTTATTTACGTTGCTGAGAATCCAACCCAGTTCCTCACACCTGCCAGGCAAGTGCGCTGCCACCGCTGAGCCACAGCCCCAGCCCCCAAAGAGAAACTTTTTAGACAAAATAAATCTAACATTTTTTTGGTGATTAAAGGTTCATGAATAGTACAGCTAGGAGAGATTCGGAGAGTTCAACTTTTATCAGCATGAGTAGTGAGCTTTTATATGTTCAGTGTGGAAACAAATTACTTGATAGGCTACAGCTTAGTACTTTTCTTATGGGAGTCCAATTGGGTAGGAAATCCCCAGTTGGAGGTTAAAGGTGTCTTTTGATTTGTTAAGCTTACAGTTCTACTGTTTACATTGGACTTCAGTTTGCTTACGTAGGAATCTGAGACACTAGAGCTGTCTCAGCCAAATGACTTCCACTTAATTATTATTATTTTTTTTAACAAAACCAAGGGCATAGCCCATACTCTTGCCCTCAGAAGGATCAGAGTATGGCATTATGCTGAAAACTGTGGAGTAATGGAGTGCAAAAGATGAGACCATTTTAGAGCTCTGTGGGGATGGGAAAGAGTCAAATTCCATACTAAAAGCAGTGCAATGCAATTAGACCATTTATGTGGGCCCAGGGGACACTGTTCATTCTTTCTGTCCTGGAAAGTTGCTGCGTTATGAGAGGAGTGGAAAATGCTAGTTCTGGGTGCTCTCAGCTTCCTTTTGCAGCTAGGACATGAGCATATGACTTGGGTCCCATCAATCAGATGTACCAATGCCATCTGAATCCAAGGCCCCAGATGGGAATAAGCATGAGCACCATAAATTCTGATTGGGTGGTAGCAATGCCACCTGTTTCCCGCAGAGCAGTGGCACTGGTGGTTCTTGCAGTAGCATCTGTTTCCTGCATTGGTGGATGCAAGCTACAGTGTTTGTGTCCAGGTATGAATGGGAGCCATGGGGTACCTTTGCCAGTCCAGCACTACAATTTGATTTTGACCCTTTTTCCTCTCTCCAAAGCCTCAAAGACTGGTTTTCTGGCCCTTCCAAGACACTTGTGAAATGGCATCTTTTAGCTAATTCCCTTTGGGTTTCCATTAGCTGCAGTGAAATGTGATTGCTAATGACCCTCATGCTACAGGGGATTTCTAATGACACCTGCAGAAAAGAGTACCCACTACTCAAAAGAGCAGACATCTGTACTGCAGCTCCTACCTGGTGGATAGCACTAATGGATCCTAGGAATAATGCCTCTAGAGGTACAGGTTTTAGACATCCTTGGAGCCACCGAAGGCCCTCTAATCCTGTCTTCTTTAATAGATCTCACTTAGAGACAGGTACCACACTCCTGCTTTTGTCCTTATCTCTTTCTGGGCCCTGGCCCCTAGCCTTTCTGTACTCTAATGACACCACAGGTAGCCCACATAATTGTTGCCCCTTTCTTCCATCCCGTTTTCATCATACGGCCAATCTTGGAATAGTGCCCTAGGCCCATCAGTCTTTACAAATGCAATGTCAGCATCTTAACAATTGGTTGGCAACTGTCAATCTAAAAACAACAAAGTGAGATTTTCCAAGGAACCATATTTATTTAGGACTAGCAGAACACTGCAATGGGAACATGCATACCATAGTAAACTGGGTGCATTCAAGGAAGTTGAGGCAAGGACAAAAAATGAGGGATTACATTAGCTATTTTGAAACAATAATCTTTAGTCACAACAGTTAACACCTGGGGTAATGTTAGTCTGAGGTTGAACAGACAGTTGCTGGGCAAATGTCCCTGCAGAGTACATGTTGTGTAAGGTTGCAAGTGGCCTCTGTACAACCTTGTGGTTCTGGTGAAGTCTTTTGTGATAGTTAGAATCAGGCAGTCACACATAAGGACTTGTACTTCATAACATCCTATATTTATTTATTTTTTGTTAAGGTTAACATGAGTGACTTATTTTGATTGTGACAACAATCATTTATTTCACAGAAACTAGAATGCAAGAGTCCTTCTTTTAGTTGCCTCAGGGATTTAGGGAAAATTCCTATTTGCAAATTTGGTGGTTAGGGTTAGGGTTAGGGTTAGGGTTAGGGTTAGGGTTAGGGTTTAGGGTTAGGGTTAGGGTTAGGGTTAGGGTTAGGGGTTAGGGTTAGGGTTAGGGTTAGGGTTAGGGCACAGTTAGGGGATGAGCATGTGGCTTAGTATGTACATTTTTAAATGCCTTGCCTAGGTCTCTGAATATGAACAGGAGATGCCAGGACGGACATGCTTGGAGGCCTGGATCCAGGCAGCAGCAATGGCAGCATGCTTGCCAGTTTACTTCTGCTCTTGGCTCTGCTCTGGGTTTGGAAGCCTGGCCCATCAGAAGCTCTTGGGGACCCAGTATTCAAAACCTGGTCCCTAGCCTCCTTCCCATTATGTGAGCCCTTAGTAGTTAGCCAAGTGATTTCCTCTATGTTAGTAAGAGAGCCACTTGCCTTCCTGGTGTAATCTGGCCACTGCCTTGTGCATGCTTCTCACCCCCTGGCTGCTGTGTCCATCCCTAAAACTCTGTTAAACCCTCCATGCAACCTCCAAGTGTCCCTTGAGGTAGAAACAGCTGGCAAGCAGGGCCTGGGTCTTGTTCATCCCTGTGTTGGGTATAACCAGACAGGGACTGGAGGTCAGCAAGTTTTCAAAGAGTGTGGAGATGATTCTACCAGTTCCAGGCTCTATCCTGTTTTCATCGCTGCAGTGAAAACCAAAGAGATGAATCCTATCCCACAAGCCAAGTACACTCACCCTGAGATCTTTCTGTGTAGTCCATCTGTCCAATCTGACAGCCTTCTTCAAATGAAGCCCTTTATACATCTTAGCTTGTTCCTTGTGGTTTGTGAGCCCCAATGAAGCACCATGGATTGCATACTTCACCAATCAACATGTGAATAATTCCAGGGGATGGACAAGCCTCACTCATCTCACAGTCATTACCAAGTTTATCAACAATCATTTCTACCTTGTCACATGGGGAGTTTCTACTTTCCAAACTGTGGGATATATCTGGCAGCAGAGCTATGACAAATTCTCCATTTTCAAGTCTGGGGCCACTCCTGTGCTCCAGTTCACCCTTTCTGAGAAAAGTAAGAACATCTTAACTCCCTCTGCCTTCTTCTGTCATTGCCCTGGAAGGTGTCTGGACAGATACCCTAAGGCTACAAGGGACCGGAAATCTGCTGGCCAGTAGCCCAGCATGAGGCAGAACCTGTGCAGAAGGTGGGACACTGGGATTGAGCCCATCAGGCTCACAGGTCCAGAGGAAGCAGGACAGGGTGTGCACAATCTTGGCTCTGGGAATTTAAGGTGCAGGGTCCTGAGAGGATAGGGCCTGAGTAGATGGGCCTTGTATCTCTCTCTTATAATTGAGTTCTTCAGCTTAAGACTGAAGGGGAGCTAGTCTGGTAGAGAGAGGGAAACCCCCAAGCAATGTGAACAGCAGGGCGCAATGCCCCTGCCTAGAAAAGCCCTCCAAACTCCAATTAAAGTTGGCACCTTCCTTCAGAGACTACTGCCCGTTGGGTACTCCTGATCATAGAGAGAAAGGGAGTCTGTGAAAGGACAGAGAGAGTCCTGGGGTTGGGGGAGTTTGGGGTAACAGTCACTTCAGTGTGTGTGTGTGTGTGTGTGTGTATGATTAGGTGCATGTGTGTGTGACTATATGAGATGTATGTGTTGGGCAGGTATCTCAGTCTGTCTCACCTTCTCTGATTGGAGCCTGAGACTTCCAGTGGCTTTTCTCTTCCGTATAAACTGAAGGAGGAACACATTGGCATTTTCCATCCCAGGGCAAGACATGTTTCCCTTGCAAAGCTCAGCCAACTTAGAGGCAGAGAAG